ATTTTAATATTAAAAATTGTTAATAAAATATTTAAAATAATATAATAAACCAATAATCGATTCATCAATTCATCTAATTCTAAAAATTATATTTTAAAAATTATGGGTTTATTTAATATTAAAAAAGATTTAATCTTTGGTATAATTAGATACAAAAATAAATTAACCCACAAAATTATTATTTAAATTTTTTTCTAAATGTTAAAGAACTCAATCGGGTGAAAAAAAAAAAAAAAAAAACAGGGTAATGTATATAAAAAATATGTATCTATATTCTTGTTTCAATTCTTATGTAATGCAATATATATATATATATATATATATATTGTGTTATAATTAAAAAATTAATTTATAACGAGTACTAAAAAAATAATTATTAAAAAATATTACTAAGTTGGAAAATCTTTTATACCAACGATTATAATTTTGGTCTTTTTTTATAATAATTGTTAATTTTTCAAAAGACTAATTAGTAATTTTCTAATAATTTAAGCACCCAGCTGGTCGAAAATTATATATATATATATATATATAACATGCAATATTTTTTAAAACAAATAAATAATAATAATAATAATAATAATAACTTTCTTCTATTTATTTCCTAAGCCTACCCGGCGTCACCCTTCCGATATCGAACGGGAAACCATAACAGCTGTAGTTTCTCTAATAGTGAAACAATTTCCTAGTACAGAAGTCAATATCCTACTTGGTTTCGGTCTATATATACTTATATATATACATACACGCCCCACCAGCCTTATAGTTTATACTGGGGTGAAATTCTAGTTCTTTCATACTAGCACTGAGTCATCGTCTTTGTTTTCCAACTTCTCTCGCAACGAAAGCATGAAGCCCGAAAGCTCCAATGGCGGCCAACGTTGCCATCTCGAAAAGGCCAATACTGACAGTTGGCAAGAACCTCCCAAGGATGTAATGGAGATGATCTTGGACCAGCGGAAAGTCACCTTCGACGACTACTTAAGTTTGTGCGGCGTCTGCAAACCATGGAAACAGCTGATCAAACAAACGGGCATCCACTTCCAGCTCGCTTCTTCCCCGCCATGGCTGATGCTTCCTCCAACCTCAAAAGACGACCCCGACTTGCGATTCTTCGACGTGGAAACCGGCACAATCTATCGCTTCATCAACGTGCCGGAGCCGATCAGAGGAGGCCAGTGCTGCGGATCCTCAAAAGGTTGGCTGGTGATCGCCAAGGATCAAGAATCGATCTTTCTGTATAACCCGGTTTCCCGGGTTCATCACCGTCTTCCTCCGGTAGAATTATTGGCGGAAGATTGTTTTGACGAGCAAAAGAGTAGTTACTATGCGATCAGACAACACATGGGTCGTATCGAGTTATCATCATCGGATATTCATTCATGCACCATTGCTGCAATTCATGCTCGTGGTACTAAGCTGGCGATTTGTCGACTAAATGACAATACATGGACTTTTCTGAAAGAATCCGACGAACTCGATCTTTCTTCTGCAAATCCTGAGGATTCCGACTGTGACCAACACAACTTTGAAGACATTCTGTTCTCTGAAGATGGACATGAGTTGCACGTCTTGTGTGGTATGAATAATCAAACTTATTCTACCGTCCAACAGGACACCATTACTTTATCTGATAATGCAGTCATAAATTTGAAGTTAATTCCAAACAAAAGAACGTTGTACTGGAATCGTCTTCGTAGTATGGGTTCAACCAATGGCTTCATGAGCATTACACCACATCTGGTAAAATCCAACAATGGCGAGTTACTGTTAGTCGAGAAGCGGACAGATACTCTGTCGTTTGACAACGAGAGTCTGCCATATCATGAAGCCAATAGAGCCAAAGTATACAAGGTCGACGAAAGCAGCGGCGAGTTAACTGAGGTGGAGAATTTGGGTGATCAAGCGTTGTTTGTGGGTAGAACTGGTTCAACATCATTTTCATGGAACGAGTTAGAGGATGGAGAGAGGAGAAATTTGATCTACTTTGAAGAGAATTTGGGTTACTTTCAGTATCTTCTTGATTCCTTTATCGTGCCTTGGATCGGCGAAGAAGAAGGAGTTATTCCACCTGTTTGGTTTTCAGCCGATCTCAGTCCTCTCCAATGTGTTCTGCATTGGTTTTCACCTTCGCTCCATTAATTACTTACTGCCATTGTTGTTCTTCTGTTTGTTATTCGTATTTTGATGCAACCACAGGTTGAAACCATTAGTTTATGTAATTTGTTTTCTTGAATAAAACTCCATAGCTGGAGAATGTCTGAATCAAAATGTTAAAAAAAAAAAAATCAATTATTCCGTAATAATAATGTTTTTATTTTGTTATGAAATAATATCGCGTTATGTTTTATCTTTTTTTAAGTAAAATATTTCTTTTCCTATCGATTCATTAATCTCTTCAAATAGAATTTTAATCAAAACTTTAAAATTTTATTTCCGAGTTTGTAATTCTATTAAAATAGAAAATACAACGAACATCCAGTCTGACTTTTTTTTTTTTATTATTATCTTTCCTAATGTATTAAAATAAAAAAAATTTATAATTTAACAAAATTTTACGATATTAATTTTGAATATCTAATTTTAATTATTGTAAATATTAAATTTTAGTCTTTTAAAATTATGGGTTTTTTTTTTTGAGATCATTAAAAAATAAATGAATATAACAAATTTTGATTTATTGTAATATCTAGGTTTAGATTTTTTTTTTTTTTTTGCTTCTTTAATTTTTTATTTTTTTCGATTTAGTCCCTATATCGATTTTGCATCAAATTAATATTTATACTTTTAAAAAATATTAATGTTTATATCACCCATCACTAAATTTGATATGTGATACAATTTAATAAGAAAAATTTTCATATTAAATGTTATGTAAAATTTAATATATAAAAAAATTAATTTTTTTAATTAATTTAGACCGATTTTTTTTTTTTTATAGAAAAAACCTATAAATATTTTTCCGTTTCGCATTTCTTCCTCTTCATTCTCTTCTTCCTAATCTCACCTTCGATTTCCACATATGTTGAATCTGTCCAAAATTAAATTAATTTTTTACATGTCAAATACAATATAATACTTAATATGAAAAACTGTCAAATTTGATAACACATGACATAAATGTTAACAGTATTTGTAGGTATTTAAAGTTAATTCCGAATAAAACAACGTTGCATCGGACTCCTCTACGGAGTTTCGATTCAACCGACAATGGCGAGTTACTGCTGGTTTAGAGGTGAACAGAGACTTCATGGTTTGACAATGAGACCTACCGTATTATGAAACTAACTGAATCAAAGTAAATAAGATCGATCAAACTAGCGATGAGTTAATTCTGGTAGAAAATTTGTTTACCGTATTTAAAATTGAAATGTGAAAATGAATTAAAATGGGTAATGCATTTTGAACCACATTCATATATAATTATATGATGATTCATTAGCAGTTTTGAAATTAAACAAGACAAGTTTTATTTCTGGGCTGGCAACACATTGCATCTACATTGAAGTGAAGAACATTGGTCATTCTTAAGATCTTAATCTTCCATTTTTAGTGTCTTTGAACATTTAGAAACAGAGGATCATACCGCCTCTTTTTTTCAAGCCAATCTCCGCCGTATTCATGTATTTTCTGTTCTCAACACATCGATGGTAATTAGCGAAGAAAACACAAACTTACAGCATTAATCACGAGTAATAATTTTTCGATAGTTAGATACTAACATTCGCGAACAGGTAATTACGAGCAATATATTCATGTTTACTGTAATACTTCCAGTCAATTTCCACAATATCTGATATGTTCAGCTTTCTCCATCTCAAGAATAACTTTTTACCTGCTAAATGTTAAACACTGAAGCAGATTACAAGCAGAACAAAGGTGGAGCCATAATATTACTTTTCAAAATACAACAAAAGTAACAATTAGGATGATTATGACTAAGACCCATCATCCAGTCTAGTTCAAAGTCAACTTGATTGGAAAAATCTATTTACAGCCCTATATTCTCAAGCCACAAAATTTCAGCATTCAGTCCATTCTAATAAACAACTAAAGGACTTCCATCAAGCTGTACTGAAAAACTTATATGGACATTAAATGGCATCCAAATTCTTGAGAGAGATCAGAGAGGAGTAAATAGTTAACTGACTAGGTTGAGCCTGTGAGAAATCGCCAGCAAATTATGTTTCTAACTGATGCAGTCTGGCTGGTTTTTCGTTTTTAGGCCAGTTCATCGGTCACACACTTTCGAGGACTCGAAATACAGTAACTTTGAGAATAAAATCTCTTGCCCTGAGGAGTTCAAAGACACAAACATCTCCTTCCCCTAAATTATTCTCCAACGTAAATTCATACCAACCCTGACTAAACTTCGCTCTCCCACCTCTATAAAGACACCGAACAGGCCATTGCTTGCCATCAGAACTCTGTAGTTTAATGAACCCTGAAATTCCACTAAGGTGCTTTTCGGCAAAGCAAGAAGGCAAGTACTGCAAAGTTATAAAGAAGAAACATAAAATTACTGATTTCGACTTGAGAGAATTGGACAGTAGTTAGTTCAGCCATTTTTTGGCATCAAGATGGTTTGACCCTGAAAAAAGAAGCTATATGGGCATTTATTTACGTATTTCTACCTATAATCGGTATAAGTCAAAATAACTTTTTTTAACACAAAAAGAAAATTTAGGCTATTTTTGCCTTTTATTTTTTTTTATACCAAAATATTTTTGTTAAAATTTATTTTATCAACTTTTCAACTTATAAGCAGACTCTGAAAATATATTCATTATTTATGTGGAGCTTATTATTAAATAAAATGAAAAACATATTTTTAACTTATTTTTCAAAAGTTTGTATGTTTCATAAGCTTATAAGTATCACCAAATTATAAGCTAAAAAGGGCCAAACCAAACAGCTTATTATTTAGCAAGATTATTCAGTGGATTACCATTATGCACCCTCTGTAGAGATAAGATGGTCGTAGGACAACTCTACAGAAAGGATTAGTTGGTTCAAATGCTTTGGCTGCATTAATTGCTCGTTCTCTTTCTTCAGCTGTTACAGTTCTCTTTCGTGCTGATGCACTTTCGTAAAATCTAAATCTCATGTCTACCTCATCTTCATGTTGACCTGATGGATTGTGATCATCTACATGCATGTCAAAAAAGATAAATATGAGAACTCTCAAATTTGATTCATCCAAGATAATAAGATAAGAGGACATTTGGGCTTCGAAAAAGTACTTGGATCGATCCTCTGCTTCTTCCGCCCCCTCTTTTTAGGTTTCTGTACATCCTCCTCTGAAGGATGAAATACAAAAAGGTTAATGTTAGAAATCAATAAGAATACATCGAAACCGTAAATCTCAAATAGATTGATGAATGCAGAAATTACCTTTTGGGCCACTGAACAGATTTTGCAGTGCTGCAGTATTGTAGCTTTTGTTGAGTGCCAGAGAATCAGGATATGCGGGATATGGGCACATGGATGAAGAACCAACAATTTCAGCATCCTCGTCTTCCAGTTCTTCGAATATACGATTTCTTTTGAAATGATTATGTGCTTCATTGCCACCAACAAGACCATTGACATGGTAATTTATCTCAGAAAAAAGATAAATTAAATATGTAAACACTGAAAGCAGAATTCCCTTCATATCTGAAGACTAAAAAGTACCCAATCCGAATATAGTAACGCTCTACAAACTCTTGCCAACCATCTTGAAACCAAATTTTGTCGCTAACTTTCCTTAATCCTACGCGCCAAACATGACCATCAGGAACAGTGAGAGCAACAGCAACAGACAGCTCGTCCTTAAATTTCTTAACAAAGTTATCTGGAATCCTCTGCAGGTACCGGATCAAAAGGCGCATTGTTTGTTTTAAAATAATCAAAATAGTAGGATTAAATGCAAATGTCATATAAGTTTATTAACTGAAAGTAGCATTAAACCAAACAAAGGTGTGATCTCCATCTCATTCCCATAAATGATAACATCCAATAAGATCATCAGTTTAATTTTTTATAGAATGACATATGGTATTCCACGTAAACATGAGTATCCACGTCAACCGAAGACAAGTATTTCCTTCTCTTGTTAGTCTCCTTCATTCTTCAACGAAAAAGAAAGGACATAAAACAAATTAATGGCATCTACGTAAGAAGTCAAATTTGGGAACATTTCGTTGTCATTCATGGCCCCAAGTCATTTAAGACATCACTGAAATGTGACAAAATTCAAGCTCCATCCAGACGATTGAAGATACCAACCATAGAAGTAATAGTCACTGGTGTGATTAGATTGGAACTCAAAACTATAATATAAAATGTCAACTGAATATTAGGTTTTATAGCATTAGCATGTAGATAACTTTCGGGAGTGACACTATGTTCTTGATATCATCTTGCAACACGTGAAAGCTTCTGTTAACCGAATAAGAGGTTGACAGAATCAATATAGAAAACAATTTGGATCTAATGTTAACCAAACAAGATATTTAGGTTTGCAAAATACATTATTTCAAACACAATCAAAGAGGTTATAACATCAAAGCTTATCCATCAAGATGAAAGCTATAAAACTAGTACAAGAAGAAAAAATTGGATGAGAAAGAACATCATAAGAATGTTTTGGAAGCTAGTGGCTTTCTTGACTGTAAAGCATTCACCTCAGCCGCTTACCCAGGGAAGGAGCCAGAGCAAGATTTGCAAATGGAAACAAAAGCATGTGATTTCTATTTCACCAAAACAATCCCAGCATATTGCGGGAATCAGATAACTGGTGCGAACTAAGAATTGTGTGCACCAAACATTTCGTTTCAATTACCATAAGGAGCACTATACCTCATTTGAATGAATGAAAACAGATAAAAAAAATACCAAAAGCGAACAATGCTTCTTTTGCTTGCGGACAGTCAGTACTAAAATTCAACACAGCAAGCATATCAAACCCAGTTGGTTGGCCACAAGAACAGTAGAAATGAAGGATAATCATATAGTATATCATCCATTAGAACCTGGAGAATGCCAATCTTTACACCACAAATCTACCTAATTTCAAGTAAGCAAAAAAGTAGCAAGATATGACAATAATCAATCCGGTTTGCTTTAATCATTTCTCAAGCTAAGTCTTTTAAAGCTTTTATTTCTCTTCTCCGTCGTCAAGTCTCTTTGGACAAGTTTCTCCTCAAAGTAAAGAAAGATCAGTGATTACTTAAATTTCCATAGCTGAAACCTGCAATCAAATTTTCTATAATCTCTGCTTCCATCTAACCGGCTACCTAGACAGAAAATTGGGTTTCATTTACAGTCTTCTCTCATCCTGTCTCAACTTTTCAACGGCATCTCACAATCCCAAATACCATAATCGAACCCGTTAGAGGATAAGAATTACCCACATACCCAATAAAGAAGAAGTCGTAACACAACACAATCCACCCCCAATTTCGATTTTCCTTTTCATTTCTGCCACTTAACTTTCCGGGAAAACAAAAACGAAACATACCCTTCCAACGATATCGTACAACAGATAGAACTACCATGTACCAACAAACTAGAGATGCTAATACACGCACAGAAAGAGAGAGATATAGAGAAAGAGAAGAGATTTCCTAGGTACCAGCCTCTTTTCCTGAATGGTTGATGAGAGAATTAGCTTGTGAAAAAAAGGGCGCGGCATTTTTGAGCGTGAGTCGGGAAGGAGAGACCGAGTCAGATCATGTAATGATGATAGATATATGACAAGACCTTGCTGTTTATTTTGCTGTTGACGGTGTTGAGTCTGTAGAGTATTGAGCTTTCAGATCTGGTTTCCTCCCCTCTCTCTTCTTCACTGGTTTTAGTCAAATATTGCTTTTAAACCCTCCTCCCCCCTTCCCCCCTCCCCCCCCGCCCCTCCACCCAAAAAAAAAAAAACAACAACAAACACTCCACTTGACCTAAAAGTTGAACACGAGTCCAGGACTCGACGCGTGACTCAGTAACTCGGGTGGTGACTCACATGGCAAGAAATGGAAAGAAAAATTGTACTGCCCCACCTACTCGCCTTTTCTTGTCTGCATTGTTTTTCTCGGAAACACGTCCTGCCACTTTCTCATCTCTGGTTTTTTTTCCCCGTAATTACAATTTTACCCTTCCTAATTTTATAATTTATTTTATAATAATTCAAATTTCATTTTTTTTAAATAAAATTATTCCGAGTCAACTCAGAGAGTTAAAACCTGAGTTAAAACAAATAAATAGAAACATAGGAAGGGTGGAGTCAAAAAGCAGAAGACAGTGCCGGACCCACCTACGAAGATCCTTTAATTTATTCTATTCGTCTAGGACATGGTTTGTTTGACACGTGTCGTCTCAGGGTTCATTGTGGACCACCAATAATCACATGCACTCGCACACACCTGAAATAACCCACCCATATAATATATACATATATACATATATATATATATATAATCATATGTATGTATATATGACATGTGGACATTACACTTTCCAGGGACTTCCAATTCTCACCCCATCAATCTTTCAACCAATAAAAAACCCACATCTTCAATTGATCAAATACGTAGTTACAACATATATATATATATGTGTGTGTGTGTGTGTGTGTGTGTGCATATATTGTATATCAGTCGTTATAAAATAATAATAATATAGTGAGTTCTTCCCTCGTTGTTAAGCTTTAGAATTTGAACCCAACAATAAAGTTAGAATAACAAAGCTTTATACATATACATACACATATATATTTATATGGAAAATTATTGTGAGGAACTCACACGTGTTTACATACAGAGAGCTATATAGTTTTTGTATAACATATGTTATATACCCATAAAACACCAACCGTTTAAAGAAATTTATATGTGTCTGTGTGTGTATATATATATATATGTATGTATGTAAGTTTTTGATGATTTTGCTTTTGGTGATTTTGTTATTATATTGGAGGGGGAGGATGTCAACTGTCAATTCCAAAGTTTTAACGGTTTACAAGACAAGATCCACCTGGCCAGCCGACATAACTGCGTTTAAGGTGGTAATTCTGTTCCAACATCCCACATTGTTCTTCAAATTCACATCAGAAATGGTTTCTAATCCGTTCAAGTTTTTCAGCAATTTGAGGAACTCTGCAACCCCTAAAATCTCTTTTCAATATTGGTATGTTGATTTCTTCTTTTTCTCTCTTCCCATTGAAGCTCCGTTAATTTTGGGACTGATTGATATAGAAATTTGGAATATCATCTTTGCGTTTGTTCTGAATTTCTTTTGATCAAACAATATGATCTATGTTCTTTACACGCATGTGTATGCATTATGTAGTTAAATCTTATTTGATCCGAGATAATATGCTTATCGAAAACCAGGTTTGTTCTTACAATTCTTTTATTATTTAGGATGTTTCTGGATCATTGAGAATGATATATAACCTGATGAAGATGAAGATATCGGCAACGAGAAAGATGAGTATGGTAATACCAATGATTCTTGCGACAAACATGATAATGGGTATGATTGTTGTTGTAGTCGGAGCAGATACAAATGATGTTTTCAGTCCATGCTCGGATTCTCAAGTTAGTAGAGGAGATGGTTTCAGCTTTGGCTTGGTGTTTTCGACCAGAGAATCTTTCTTTCTCAATGGAGTTCAACTTTCTCCTTGTGATACTCGTCTCCCATTAGCAGGCACGAGCGCAGAACTTGCTACGTTTAGGCCTAAAGTTGACGAGCTGTCTCTCCTCACCATCAATAATAGTCAATTCAATCCGGTATGTATTCACTACGTTGTGTTTTTTTAAGAAAAGAACGTATATTGATTGTTTACGAAGAAAGCGTATCTCGAAACTTGGATGTTAATCCACCTTTGGAATCTTCTTCCCCGAGCGATCTGGTGGGAAAATTTTTCCCTCTTTCATTGCAGACTCTTCTCTGTATGTGGAGGGAATGAGCAGTTTTTCCCACTTAATGCAGCTCTTTTTGGTTCAAATTTTCATTTAGTCCTTACTTTGAATTCTGTCAATGCTGTTTAGGAATTGGAATACAGATGGTGCTTTTCTTTGTTCCTTTTTTCTTCAGGTTAAAAATGGGGGATTCATGGTAGCTTTTTCTGGAAGAAAGTATGCAGCAAGATCATTCCCAGTAATGGTTGCTGACAGTACCAACACCATTACTAGTTTCACCTTGGTTGACCTTCTAACCACAAACATACATGTCTTTATATATATATATATATATATATACATCTATTTATATAGCATTCTCTCTTCTAATTAGCATAAAAACATTTGTCAACTTTGCATCTTTTCCAACCTGCAAACAGGTGCTTGAATTCCAGAAAGGTATTCTTCAGAATCTGTTCTGGAAGAGCTTTGGCTGTGGATCGTGCACCGGAGATTCTTCTGTCTGTGTTAATCAACAAGATTGCGGAGTGCAAATCTCGAAATGTAGAAGCAATGGTGGGTCTGCGGACTGCAATATGAGCATTCAGTTGGCATTTTCCGGCACGGATAAGAACCATGAAGCGCTGAATTCATGGTATGAAGTCAGCAACTTGAGGCAGTTCTCCCTCCATGACATGTTTGCAGGAGCCCTGAGTTCTCTCATTTAGTTCAATAAACACATCCAACACTACCCTCCTGCCACAAATTTACAACCTTTATGTCATAAGTGCCACCAAATGAATCTGGGTTTTCAAAGTTCAAACTGCATTCTGTAGGAACAGATTTCATTATCTGTACAAATCACATATACATTGGTTTAAGAAACTACAGTTTTGGGTTATTTTGATGGAGACTAGTCACTTGTAAGTCCTAACCCAGAAACCCTACTGGGAAGAAGAAGAAGAAGAAGAATCAGTAGCAACATTCAGGTGATTCAATTTCTTAGAGACAAAATATTTGTAGCTTCTGTAGTACACTACCACTCCTGCATTGGGAGAAGGCAAACTACCATTTATGGGGAAATATTTCCCTGCAAAACCAGTAACTTACAGAATTGGGGGTAGCCTCAGACAACTTTATAGGATAAAACTTAGGGCATCTACCAAGAACACTGAGCTAATTTCATGATCAAAATGCAGGATTTCTTGCGTCTTATTCATCCATTTCCTCTTATCTTGTTTTAAAACTTGAAATCATCACAACAAATAGCATGTCTAATTTCATCTTCTCTACCACATTCTCCATTGAAATCAACAATGGAGCATCAGAATATTGTAAAAACTTACTTCCAAAACATGATTTATACAAGACTAATTTCAAGAATAAAGGCTTGCCATTTTACATAAAATCATTTAAGGTGATATTTAATACTATAACTTTTTTTATATATATTAAAATATTGTTTGAAAGTAATCTTTAAACATATATATTATTGATTAAGCAAATAATCTCGTTAAGTTCAAAATAAGTAAGTCATATTAACCAAATTAACCTTACTAAACTTGCAATATCTCCTTGAACCCCAAGCATTAATGGAGATCAAAATAATATTGATATTGTTTGGTGAGATATAAAATTTTGAAGACCAAATCAAGATTCTGTAACATGAACATGGAAGCCCCAAATCACGCATCAGAAATGAATAGTGGATTTCATTAGTTGTTCTTCAATCTGCACAGCACAAAATTCCCTCTTTCAAGGACTGTCCAAGCCCAATAAGCAGAGGTATGCACAAGAACCAAGTAGAATCTATACAAGCCCCAAGAAGTACACCCTGTACAGTTATAGAATAGAAGAAGCAAAAGATTCAGAAACTACTCAGCCGACATTCCAAAAGAATTTTATAATTCCCTCAGTCAAAGATTTCTACTTGTATATACAATGCTTGATGCAGCCGTGAAGCTAATCCCTGAGAAATGACTGAATAAACTTCCTCGTAAGAGCCGGTGATGTTCAGTATCTTGTGATATTAAGGAAGAGAACCAGTCATCTCGTGAGTAGTAAACTGCCAACTACTCATGCAGGTTGAACACGCATCTTCTCATGAATGTCTATCAAGAGATCACGCAGCTCGGGGAAAACTGATTTGAGTACTAGTTCAAGTATCGCATAGGCAAGTTGCTTCACACATACGGTAGACTAAAATTCACCCACCAAAAAAAAAATCAACAGTTAATTTGAGTTGAAAAGCTTAAAAAAAAAAAAAAAAGAACTGATATCTCAACAAAGAAACATCAGCGTAGTTGCACTATGGCAGAGAGAGGATATAGAGGCTCAACCTGAGTAAAGTAATAAATGTCACTTGCACATCGCCTGTACTGACTAGGCCCAATCAAGCTGACTAAGGCTGTTGGAGCCCCATCTGACAAAAAGAAAGGAATTTTGACATCCGATTACTTGTTCCATTATGCAAAACCAAAACTGAACAAAAGAGAAACAAAGAGATGCAGAAATCCAGAAACCAAGAAAAGCAAATACCTGAACAGGGAAGCTCAAAAAACAGAAACACGATAAATGATGCAAAGAAAACAGTACTAACCAAAAAGTAATTTCTTGAGATCACTGGCTCTACGAGTAGCCTCAAGTTGTTCCTCGAAAGACCCTGGCTTACAGACCTTAGGGACACCAAATTGGCCAGTCACAAAAGGTTTTTGACTATCCTGAGCCTCATCAAATTTGCTTTGGAAATCCCCTATTTTTGTAAAGAATACACCACCTGGCCAGAGAAGCTAGAAAGAACAAAATAGAGATCAGAATTGTAAGAAGGACTCCATATAGCAGTTCTTCTTTATGAACTTGTGGCATCTAAAGGGATTATAGCTGAAAAATGTTATCGAATAATGGGACGAAAAATGCTTTCCTCTTTATGTAAGAAGTAAAAATATGAGCTCCTTTTAATATACTCCAAGGAGAACAGACAACACAGTAATTCTGCTTCTTAGAATTTTTTCGTAAGTTCATATATCAGATATTTTTTATGGCAATTGCCAAAAATATAACATTGAAACACTTGGTCATAAGCTCATTTTGCACGTAGACTCCAACCAATTGATACTTCAATAAACAAGTAAGACAACATCTGACAAAAAAAAACTTCAGCAAATTGTTGCTCCCATTAATTATCCAGAAACAGTTAAGCTAACACCCTAAACTTGCCTTAAAAAATACCTCAAATACTTATACATGCACTATACAGTTAACAGAGCCCAATGCACAACTTGAATATGTAGTGTCCACAAAAGGCTATAACAACAACTAGAATATAACTAGGTGTCACCATACAGTCAACAATATAGGAAACTGCATTAGCCAATTACTAACCAACTCTGTGATAAGAGAGTGAGTTGTCAAGGTTCATTACGATTATTCGTCATGGTAATTAGGTTTGTTGAAAGCTATAATCTGCTAAAGGAATATGATCAAAGATTTCCTTTTAGAGAGAACGCAAAATCACTATTCAACAGGGACTTCAAACCAGATAAATAAATAACAAGGTCAGAAGAGTATTTTCAGATACTGAAGTAGTCGAAAAACCAAGTGCCGCAGAATCAAATTGCAAACAGAAAAATTGGAAAACGAGCTTCTAGCAAACAGATGACAACAACAGTGCTATACCCAATCAATCTTGATAGAAGACTGCCAAGGTATTTCCATCACATGCTAGAGAATTAGGTCCTTAAACTCAACACTAAGTTTCTGATGGAAGGCATTTAAGCAAATGTAATAATATACCAGTTGGTGCTCTAATTCTAATTCTATAAAATGTGACCAAGTCCTAACTAGATTGCACAAACTTAGACTCAGTTTGGACCTTGTCCCACTGCTTGGAAATTTTTTATTTAGAGAAGCATGAGGCTAATGAAAACAGAAGAAAGCTAGTTATTATATAAGCGTCTTCAAGAAATCTCTTTGGAAGGTTAGAATGACTTTCCTGACTATTTGTATAGCTCTAGATAGACCACATGAAACGGCACTCTAACCAAAA